TCCTAATACTGACCAGGTAGGTGCCTGTCATTAATAATGGGACTGCTATTCTAGGCAATGCAAGTCTTGGTTGTCCAAACGTACATTGAGAAGGACAACACCCATCTTTCCAAGTGTGACCAGAAAGTAAGGAATTGATTCATTTAGTAAAATTGTCTGTCATTGTACTCCTAGCTTGGTTTAGCTTAAGTTGCCTGATGCTCAATGAACAAAATACTCTGTGCTTTGGGGATTCCTTAGGATTCAGTCAAGCACGTTGGTGATGGTGGAATAAGAGGCATCACTTAGCCTTTAGATGTTCTTGAAAATCAGGTAGATATTGACAACTAAGCCACATGCTGTGTTATCCTCCATAAATGGGATCTCCTGGATGGGCTGCTCCTGCATTGCTCAGTAGCCAACAATGCTGGTCACAGTTCTTGTAACTCACATGCCCAAGCTGTGTTCTTATCCCCATGGAGGGCTTCCCAAAGATATCTCCTGGGTCACAATGACTGCCCTGACGCTTCTTTACAAATTAGGGTGTAGCGTTCTCTCCTTGAGAAGGACAGAATGATTTAGGAAATCTTTGGGAGCCCATAAAGATGCATTTGTAGCTTGTATTTGGGGTGGTTTATATAGTCAAGGTAATTTGAGAAACACTCTCCAAGAGGCAAAGCTGCAGTTTGGGAAGAGCCCTGGGCAGCGTGACATTGGAGATCAGCAGGTGGATGCACCATGTAGGGAGAATCTATAGGTCAAGGTTGGGATGGGATTCCTGAGGACTGGAGACTGCTAGTGTTATTGGTCAAAATAAGATCCAGGCTGCTCGCCACTTGAAAACCATTACTCAATGCCAATTGTTAAATCAACAACGGGATTCACTGGGTTCATGCTCCCCATGCAGGATCTCTGTCCTTAATATGTTTATCTATGAAACTCAAAAACAACACTACTAGTCGAACAATACCCTATACCTGGTTCGGTTGTGTGAGTGCAACCTGTTGAAATCCCTGCTTAGTATATACTAAGTTGATCTTCAGTATATGAAGGTAATTGAAAATGAAACGTGATGAAGGGCGGGATGGGAGAGGAAGTGGGTGAGGGGAGGGCCACGGGAGGGAGGGAGGTCGGGGGGAAGCCACAACAATACAAAAGATGCATTTTATATTCTACTTAAAACTATTGGTTGAACTCTGTAATTAATACACAATTACTCTTAGGTGTTTAATCAATGCTATAACTAGTACTCAAATAGTATTTTACACTTTGTGTTTCTGTGTGGGAGCAAAATGTGGAAATCTTTACTTAACATACGCTAAATTGATCTTTTGTATATAAAGATAATTGAAAATTAATCGTGATGTGAAAGGGAAGGGGAGAGGGAGTGGGAGAGGGGAGCGTTGTGGGTGGGAGGGAAGATATGGGGGGGAGGAGGCTATTGTGATCCATAAGCTGTACTTTGGAAATTTATGCTCATTAAATAATAAAAAAAAAAAGAAAAAAAACCATTACTCAAGAGAAAAGAGCTGATGCAAAGATATAGAAGCCAGCATTCTTGGGGGATGGCAGACTTCTTTTTAGTCCCAAATATGTTCTTTGCAAATTGCAAACTAGCAAAAGGCCTTTTAAAATGAACATAAAGGAGAGATAAGGGCAGTCAGGAATAAGGAGAGTAAAGTATACAGCCAGCTGCATGTTGGCCTCCAGACACACCATAAGGGGCTGGGTGGAGTCACAGTGGCTACTTTCATCCTGTAGTCATAAATCTGATCCTCGGGCTGTGCTGACCAGGGAGGGCCAGATTACTTTGCAACTTCAGCTGCCAATCCCAAGGTCAGTTTGTGGAATTACAAAGCAAGCAATATTTGTCTGTGGAATTGAACACTGTGATTAGTCACAAGCTCAGTGGTTAGTGTTTGTTCATCAGAGCATGAAATGGAAAAGAGAGATGTGTTCAGTAGGGTTACTTTGGGTTTTGCGGTAACCAATTTGCTGCCAGCTTTGGCATTCAGACTCACAGAATGGGAGAGCTAGGATAATCTTACCAACCATCTAGTACTAGACCTCAGAAATCAGGGAGCTTTAAAAAGAAAAAAAATTCCCTGCTTAACCCCCCTAAAAAAAAATCAAATCCACTAGCTATAAAATAGAATAACTACTGAAACAGTGGAAACAATTTATTGTGCTGGTAAGAAAGCTAAAATCTAAAAAGAGCCTAAGTGATTTACCTGGAGTCCCACAGCAAGTGGATTGTGCTAATAGATTGGTGCGTATTTGTTCTGCTTACTCCCAAAGCATTTTTTTCATGTGTTCAGACCAATAAACTGATTTCTACTTAAGCATCAGCAGTGTTCCCCGGGCTGGATCTGACTTTTGAAACAGGGTCCCTGTGTTCCAGGATCTCCCTGTCCAGTGGGAAGACAAGGCCCACGGGCCCACAATTGCACTGCTGAGTGACCCACTGTGGGCAATGGTTACTGAGCTTCTGGTATCAGCCACGCACTACGCTGGACAGCGGATACAGGAGCCAGGAAGAGACTCAGCTCCTGTTGTCATGGAGTCTAGTTGGGGGAGAAGTTTTAAGAATAGGAGACTTCCAGGTAATAAAATGTGCTAACACAACAGGGATGCAAAACAAGCAATAGGAGAGATGGATTCTGGCTGGTGCCATGATGAAGAGGCAGGGGGATCTTTATTCAGATGGTAAGGAAAGGACTCTGAGGAAAGAGTAGGAGAGAAGACAGGAGAGAGACAGAAACTACAGGGTGCTGTTTATGGAGTTTTGGAATAACTTCCTTTTCTCAAGGGCCATGGGGCCTTGCAGTTTATGGCATGGAAATGGTTCATCCCTTGGAGCACTCTGTTCCTGGCCTTAGGGGCACAGGAGGGGGCAGTGTTCTACTAGGGCCTCAGTAGACAGAGGCAGGGAAAGCAGGAGACCAGTTGCTTACCCTGCCTCATTCCCTGACTCTGGTCCTCGTCAGATGAGTTCTCTCTTGGTCGTCACCACTGGGGATTGAGAGCACACTTTCAAGGCACTTCTCACGAAGACGCTCTGCCCCAAGCTTGTCCTTCTTCCCAGCACACGGCCAGGTGAGCAGCCAAGTGGGAACCTCCTGTACTCCCCTCTCCCACCTAGGCAGAGAAACCTGGGTAGGCCTTTTTCCCCTGCATAGCTCTGCCTTCCCCCTGCTTGTGATGCATTCCGCAGGGACCAGGGATCCTCTGTCTTCAGGCCTCCCTGGAGAAATGGGTGCCTGCAATGACTTCTCATCTTCATTTGGGTTCAACTCACCATCCTGCTGACACACTGCCTGCACAGAGGAACCCTCCCTGAAGCTCTGTCTTGTTCAAGATAGGAGCAGACACTCCTCTCATATCCCCCACTCAGAGCATCCCATGAGAGTGAGATTCTGCCCCCTCCCCCCATGCTCTCATCTCTTCCCTTCCCCCAGCCCAAAGCTGGCCAGAGTCTTACCCCCGTGCAGGGGCACACCTCTTGGTGTCCACACCACATGGACACACTTCAGTCCTTCTGTGCCTGCTGCTCTGCAATACTTGACATTGACATCTAGTCCCTTTCCCAAACTTTCTCTGTCCTCAGTGTCAGGGTGATCTCTCTACTTTGTTTTCCTTCCTTTAGGCTTTTATTGTTTGCTCTCCATTGTCCCTGCTCTGCTTTTAAAAGCTGGTGTTCCTCAGGGCCATGGCTTCTCCTCTGTCACTACAGACCCCCGTGGTTTTACCTCTCCCTTGGGCTGCTAACCCAACCCTAACCCTAACCCTAACCCTAACCCTAACCCTAACCCTAACCCTAACCCTAACCCTAACAAGACCACGAGACCCCTACAACACACACCCTTGGGAGTGCTCTAGTTGGCTTCCCCAGTTGTTTCTGTTAGAGAAACACTGAGTATGAATAATTAACTTAGTTTTTAAAGATTTACTTTTATCTGTTTGAAAGGCAGAGTTACAGAGAGAGGATGGAGAGAGAGAGAGAGAGAGAGAGAGAGATCTTCCATTCACTGGTTCACTCCCTAAATGGCTGCAATGGCCAGGGCTGGGTTAGGTTGAAGCCAGGAGCCAGGAGCTTCATCTGGCTCTCCCATGTAGTTTCAGGGGACCACGGACTTGGGTCATCCTCTGCTACCTTCGCAGGCATAATAACAAGGGACTAGATCAGAAATGGAGCGCTGGGACTCTAATAGGTATCCACAACACTGGCCCCTAAATAGTTCATTTACATTGATTAAACTTATGCTCTCTTCCTGCATCTGAAGATGTTAGAGATGTGTGTGTGTGTGTGTGTGTGTGTGTGTGTGGTGGTAGTGGTAGGGGTGGTGGGTATGTGTGGAAGTGTGTGTGTGTGTTGCAAATGGTTGGATATGAAGACTTTTGTAAGGTTAGAAAAGCAAAGTACTTCTTTCTGAGAAAAGATGAAGCTATCTGGAGAGAAAGGTCTGGGAAAATCGGGGTGGGAGAGTGGTGGCAGGAATGGCCAGAGAGCATGAGAAGGAGGGAGTTGGAGTGAGTGCTCAGGTATGGGAGATGGGGAGGAGGGACAGAAAGACAAGAGACAGGCTTCCTCTGTTCTCTCCCAGTTAGCTTGGTAAACAAGAACTATTCAGACAGTCTCATATGCTTACGTAGGAACTGTAGCTCTAACTTCCCTCACCATGAAAACATGACATTTCCATCAGAGTTGCGTCATCATTTTGGGAAAAACTTACACTCAACTCTTTCTAAATTACTCATGGGGAAAACCATCAATTTAATATGTATATGCCTGTGGACCCCCCCCCCCACACACACACTCGTGTGTATGTGTGTACATACTAGATGAGAACATTAAAGAAAGAATTCCCTGAGGGAAAATGGCAATCAAGAGCACACGAGGGGTGCTTGGGTTCAGGGAGTTCATAGACTTGAGATGCTCCACCTCCTGTGGGTGTGTGACAAATGTCTCCACACCACTGAAAATACCCACAGAGCTTACAAGCATGCAAAGGCCCGTTGGGGTAGGACCTGCCCTTTGAAAGCTTCCTGTGTGACTTGCTTTTGGCCACCAGTTCCAGTTTCTCTATTTCCTATTTTTTGGTTTACAGAAATGAGGATGTCCCTCAGGGAAGCTTTCTGACTCTCGTGTTCTGCGCTGGCAACAGAACAAGGTCCTGGAGTGATGACAGCCACAAAGGAAAACCATGTGCTGCTTGGGCTGGATGTTTCTTTGGCTTGTTGCAGAAGAGAACATTCAGGGACTTTCTATTTCAGGTAGGAGTTTTCACTTTTCATATCAGCACCGGGAGTCTTGTCGTCAGTTGACAGGGACAGATAATCTGATCCAGCAATGGCACAACATGATACTCAGCATTTCCTCCCCACTGTCAAGGAGGGAGAGGGAAGGAATTATTGCAGTGAACGGCTTTCAGATGAGGCTAGGCATGGCTGGGGAACCCAGTGGCCACTGCTGGGTGTCCAGTGGAAACTGCTGAAGAGGAGTGAATGATAGTCCAGCAATAGTTTAAAGGATGCTAAGGTCCTTTGGTAGAGAATCAGAACATGAACTTGTTTTCTACCATGATATAGGCACAATTTAGATGAAAGACACACAAGGAAGCTTGATCCATTGTGAGATCAAGTATTCTTTGTAATGATAGCATTATCTTTTTTTTTTTTTTTTTTTGACAGGCAGAGTGGACAGTGAGAGAGAGAGACAGAGAGAAAGGTCTTCCTTTTGCTGTTGGTTCACCCTCCAATGGCCGCCGCGGCCGGCGTGCTGCGGCCAGCGCACCGCGCTGATCCGATGGCAGGAGCCAGGAGCCAGGTGCTTTTCCTGGTCTCCCATGGGGTGCAGGGCCCAAGCACCTGGGCCATCCTCCACTGCACTCCCTGGCCACAACAGAGAGCTGGCCTGGAAGAGGGGCAACCGGGACAGAATCTGGCGCCCCAACCGGGACTAGAACCCGGTGTGCTGGCGCCGCTAGGCGGAGGATTAGCCTAGTGAGCCGCGGCGCCGGTGATAGCATTATCTTCTAATAAGCTTCTGTGTCGCTTTGCTTATTGTGATTCTCAGAGTGCGCCACCAAAACACTCCTTTGGACATATTCGGCAAGCAGTGAAGAGGAGTTTGTCATATTTTGTGATTTAACAGAGGCAGAGAAATCATACTTACATCATAGAAGTCAATGCTCAACGACCCAAGGCCCTCAACGCCTGCCCTGCAGTGGCAGTAGGGACCTATCTGATGTGCAGTGGTACCTACAGCCACAGGATGGGGATCCTCTTGGCGAAATCACTCCAAGCCATCCTCATATCATTCAAGACAAGAGCACTCTTCGTTTTTTAGCCCCAGCGACGAATAATTCCGGGTTATATGTTTGTAGACCCAGGATTAGGTAAATTCCACATGAATTCTTATCTGAAAATATTCCCAAATTCTCTACAATTTAAATAAGATGTCTATGCTCATGGGACCTTGTTAATCTCCTAGGACCCCGTGGGATGAGGCCTGTTGTGTGAAAACAATCTTAAAAGTTAAACCTCAGACAAATGCGTCCTGCAAGAACCATGTCTCACATAAGCAAAGCCTTCTTCTCGGTAGCACCGCCTATATTTATTGCCCCGGTCTCAACTGCCAAAGTGATATGCAAAATCCAGAGATGACCTGGTACCAGGTAAGACTGACTTCCATGACATTTTTTAAAAAATATTTATTTATTTGAAAGGCAGGTTTACAGAGAGGCAAAGGCAGAGAGAGAGATAGAAGTCTTCCATCTGCTGGTTCGCTCCCCAGATGGCTGCAATGGCCGAAGCCAGGAGCCAGGAGTTTCTTTTGAGTCTCCCACATGGGTGCAGGGGCCCAAGGACTTGGGCCATCTTCTACTGCTTTCCCAGGCCATAGCAAAGAGCTGGATCGGAAGTGGAGCAGCCAGGACTCGAACTGGCGCCCATATGGGATGCCACCACTGCAGGTGGCAGCTTTACCCGCTATACCACAGAGCTGGCCCCTCCATGACATTTTAGTAGGAGTGTTTGTTCTTATGGTAACATCTCTGTAGGTGCTTCCTAGAAATGTGTGTCTGAGAATCTGAGGTCCAGAACATACCAGGAGACCTGACTTTCTCACGTGGTCTTGTCCCCTAGGTAGCCACAGCACCTGGAATTCCAATTATTGGAGCCATCCGTTTGTTCCATGCCAGAAACATTTCTAAAATCCAAGTATATTGAGGTGAGACAAGCTCACTAACAATGGCTAATGCAGGAGAACACGCTAGTTCACGTGCACTATTTGTGAAAAGCAATGGCTATTTCTAAAGGGAAGACAGCAAGCATGTGTTTGAAGGGTTTGTGAAAGAAACTGGAGAGTTGAAGACTTTCCAAAGAGGACACGTCTGGGAGGACAGTTAGGACAAACGTGGGGTCCACCTGGGGAGCAAGTTTCTTGCCTAGGTGAGATGATAGGGAGAGAGAGAAGGCTGCTGAGAGGAAAAGGCTATGAGAGGCAGTTTCGGAATGACACTGAGGTAGGAACCACAGCTGAGCAAACATCACAACTGCATGCTTTCATTTTTCCCAAGTGTTAAGCAGGTATTTCACGCTGCTTAAGAGTCTTGCCCTGCAGAGTCCCTTGTCAGTGGAAACCCTCCCTGTGGAATCTGGGAATGGAATCTGAGTCTTCTCTGGCAATCACAATGGCTGTATGAAGCCTGATATTTTACCTTAAAAATCATGCAAAAATCCTTTTGATTTCATAAAATACAAAGGAAATTTTAAAAGTTAAAGGAAAAATAGAATTAACAGAGAAGTTTATTTTGGTGCAAGAATATTTTAAAATCCATGCATAGGTTTTGCATAATATGCATTTTCTAATAATGTTTGGAATATTTCTCATTTGTGTTTTATTATGATAAAATAGTATTTTAAATTGTCACTGATGAAAGACAGGAAGGTAAATTATGTTGACCTGGTAGTTTCGTTTTTTTTTCAAGATTTATTTATTTGAAAGGCAGAGCTACTGAGAGGCAGAGGCAGAGAGAGTGGTCCTCCATCTGTTTATTCACTCCCCAGATGGCCCCAATGGCCTGAGCTGTGCTTCTCGGAAGCCAGGGGCCAGGAGCTTCTTCCGGGTCTCCCATGTGGGTGCAGGGTCCCAAGGACTTGGGCCATATTACACTGCTTTCCGAGGCCACAGCAGAGAGCTGAATTGGAAGTGGAGCAGCCAGGACTCCGAACAGGCGCCCATATGGAATGCCTGCACTGCAGGCAATGGCCCCACCCAATACGCCACAGCGCTGGCCATCTCTATGCACTTTCAAAACTGAGAGACTCTTGGGAATAGTTACTGTGGTGAAGGATGACATTTTCTTCACCTAATTGGCCTGACATTGTAATGCCAGGTAGACGGGTGTTAAGTCCATTACAGAGAGCAATGTACAGAGAGAGTGACCAGTGTGGTTTATAGCCTTACTCACATTTGTATTTAGAATGACAAGAACAATACTGGCTGTGGTGGCATTTCATTTAGAAAACACTTTCATAATCTCTTAAAAGAGGCTAGTAGAAAGAGCCAGTGGTTCTGTTCACATTTTCAGTTCTCTCTTAAGATCAACACTTCCCTCGGGTCACAGTATCTGAATTCCGGGATGGCAGATGTCTTGCTCTCTAGAGGGGCTGTTTTCAGGCCACAAAGCAGCCTTCCTTCCATTTTTTTCCAGATGAAAATGAATTTGCATTTTTAATTAATGGCATACCTGTGAATAAAGCTATTTTTCCTTACAGGTGCACACAAGCTGTATAGTGGTCTCTAGCTCTTAGCATCCACTGCTCTTAAAAGCTAAACCAAGGTAGCTTTGTTTCCATTCTCTGAGGCTTGGACAGCAAATATCAGTATGTGTTTAATTGTGAACAGGCAACAGCCATCCTAAAATCCACTTAGCAATGGCTGTGATGAACCTGTTGCTTTGGCACAGATTTGGAGAGGTTATGTTTCATGAGTTGCATGCCCTCAGGAATCTGGAAGTCACAGATCTCATGGCACTGGTCAATCATGCAAAGCGATGATGTGAGGAGAGAAGTAACAGCTAGCATCCTCTCCTGCATGCTAAACCCCAGGTTCTCAACTGTTGCTTGGGTCACACCCAAGAAGAGATGAAGCCGACAGGGATGAAAGGATAAAGGCACAGCACTGTCCAGGTGAAATGGTTGACCAGAAATACGCCCCACAGACGCTCTGAACATTACCTTGAAATAAATCCGAGGGTATAGGGTCTCTGGAAGTACATCAAACAGTGTAGGTTTGATGATACTTTTTTTCCCCTCAAAATCAACCATATTTATTATTTTAAATTAGTAAATCATAATTCCCTAGATTTATGGGGGCTAATATGATGTTTTGATGCATGTATACAATGTGGAATAATTAAATCAAGCTCATTAGCACATCTGTCCCTTTGCTTACTTACTAGCTTTTGTGATGAGACTTTTGAAATTTACTGTTAGCTATTTTGAAATATATAATACTTCATTATGATTACAATAATAGTTCTCAAAATGTATTACTCTGGGGCTGACGCCGCGGCTCACTAGGCTAATCCTCTGCCTGTGGCACCAGTACTCAGGGTTCTAGTCACGTTGTAGCAGCGGATTCTGTCCCAGTTGCTCCTATTCCAGTCCAGTTCTCTGTTGAGGCCTGGGAGTGCAGTGGAGGATGGCCCAAGTACTTGGGCCCTGCACCCACATGGGAGACCAGGAGGAAGCACCTGGCTCCTGGCTTCAGATCTGCACAGTGCGCCGGCCATAGCGGCCATTTTGGGGGGTGAACCAATGGAAGGAAGACCTTTCTCTGTCTTTCTCTCACTGTCTAACTATGCCTATCAAAAAAAAAATGTATTACTCTTCTCTGATGCTGTGTACTCTGACCAACCATTTCCCCACTCCTCCCTATGCCAGCTCCTGGTAGCCATGGTTCTGCTCTCCACCTCTGTCATTCAGCTTTAGGTTCCATATATAAATGAGATCATGGTGTGGTTTTCTTTCTGTGCCTGGCTTATTTCATTTAGTGCAATGTCTTCCAGGTCCATCCATGTTGTCACAAATGACAGAATTTCCTTCTTTTTAAGCTAAATGGTATTCCATTTTATTTTCAATGCCACATTTTTCTTATCCATTAATCTGTTGATAGATACCTAGGTTGACTTTGTATCATGCTTTTGTAAATAATGCTGCAACAAACATGGGAGTTTAAGCTATCCCTTCAACATATTGATTTCAATTTGTTTGGCTATGCACCTCAGAGTGATACTTCTCCCCAAATCCTCTTCAATGCTCTTTTTCACTCATCTTTTTGATAAAGGTCCTTCTAACAAGTGGCTCGTTCTTCTAGTTGTACGTTGACAAGAAATGGGGAGTGCACATTTTTGTATCATCCTTGATCTTATGGGAAAAGCATCCCAGTTTTAACAGTTTAATCTCACGTCAGCTATGGGCTCATCATAAAACAGCCTTTATTGTGTTGTGATAATTCTCGGTTTACCTAATCTGTTGGGAATTTTTTATCAAGAAGATGTTGAATTTTGTCAAATACTTTTTCTGCATCTTCTGAAATGTCACAGTTTTAATCCTTATTTTGTTAGTACTCATACGGTGTACCACACTTGCATGTGTTGAATGATTCTTGCATCCAAGGGGTAAATATCACTTGCTTTATAATGAATGCTTCTTTCAATGTGTGGTTAAGTTTGGTTCACTAGTACTTTGCTGATGATTTTGAATCTATGTTCTTCTGGGATATCTTTAATTTCCTTTCCCTGTATAATCCTTGCCTGGCTTCAGCAGTAGGGTGATGCTGGTTTTGTAAAATTAGTTTGGAAGTATTTGCTCAATTTTGACTTTTTTGCAAGAATTTAAAAAGAATTGCCATTCTTTTAAAAATATTTTGTAGAATAAAGCAATGAGGTCTTGCAGACCTGTGTTTTTCTTTGATGGAGGGCTTTTATTACTGATTAAATCTCCTTACTTGTTATTGGTCTGGTCAGATTTTTCATTTCTTTGTAATTCAATCTTGATAGGTTGTATGTGTCTAGAAATTATTTACATTGTGTAAATCTTATTGTTTTGTTAGCATAGAATTGTTCGTAGTACTTTTTTATTTATATAAAGGGGAAAAATTCATGTTTTTCATAGTTTTTTTAAAGATTTATTTTTTTTTAATTTTTTATCTGTGAGGCAGAGTTACAGAGAAGCAAAGGCAGAGAGAGAGAGAGAGAGAGACAGAGAGAGAGAGAGGTCTTCCATCCACTGATTCACTCCACAAATGGAGTTGCAATGGCCAGAGCTGAGCCAATATGAAGCCAGGAGCCAGGAGCTTCTTCCAGATCTCCCACGTGGGTGCAGAAGCCCAAGGAGTTTGGGTCATCTTGTACTGCTTTCCCAGGCCATATCAGAGATCTGGATCGGAAGTGGAGCAGCTGGGATTCAAACCAGCATCCATATGGGATGCTGGCACTGCAGGTGGTTGCTTTACCCGCTACACCACAGTGCTGCTCCCCATATATAGGGTTTTAAGAGCACCATGATACTTCTCACCATACCCATCCTTCTTCTTTTCTTATGTTTCTTTAAAATTTTACAATGACAAATGTTCAATTTACTTTATAATCACAAGCTTAACCCTCCACTAAATAAAGAATTCAACAAGTAGTAAATATTAAAGCCATTATTCCTCAAGAATATAGACAAGGGCTATAAAGAATAGTCAAATCTCAAAATGTTATTTTTGCTCACATACATTACACTTTTTGGTACTCTGCATATTAGTTATTACAACTCAAGGAAAACATATTTGTCTTTTGGAGACTGACTTATTTCACTAAACAAAAGGGTCTCCAGTTGCATCCATTTTGTTGCAAAAGGCAAGATTTCATTCTTTTTTTACATATATATGTACATATTACAATTATACATATATAAAAGAAAGATTAAATTCTACTGGGTATGTTAAAGGGATAACTGCATTATTTTGGGCCTTTCTGGTTCACTATATATTTAAATTTAAAAAGCTGGAGAAGGAAGAAGTTGTTTCAATTAGGAATGAAAGAGAGGTGATGTATACAAATCTAAACCCAGTGTATCCATGACGCGGGAACATTAAAACAGATTGAGAACTTCAAGTCCATCATGCTGGACTGAGCAGAAATGTAGCTCCTTGGAGTTCTCCCAGACTAAGGTGATGGTAGCCCAGGTAGGCGATCCATTGAGTCGCCCAGTTCCGGGAAGCACCATTTGCATACAATAACACAACAGTATTTCAAAAAGTCGTGAAAAATTAAAAGTAAATTCATGTGAAAAAACTTTGAAATCCAGGTGTAGTTTTTCATAATACAGCCTTTCCATGACTTATCTGAAATGGCTTGTACAGAGTACGTGGTGCTCCTTGGAGTAGCTGTGCTGCCTAGTTGCACAAGAACATGATGATACTATATTACAATATTGTGTAACTATCCCCACTAATGAGAATAAGTTTGTTCTTCTTGCTTCATACATATTTTGCAAGTTTTTGATCTTCAGATTTTTTTTTATCCTTTAGTTCTTTTTAAGACATATCAACACTATTCATACAGATTAACAACAGAGGATGCTCCTCCTTTGATATTTTGTTTGTTTCACATCTGAGCATAACAAAGATTTACTTGCAAAGCTACCTTAGCCTCTCTCTTTTCTATTAGGATCAATTGTGATTATGTTACTAAGCTGATTTTCCCATGATCCTTGGTGTAAACTTCTGCTCCCTGATGGCTTTCTTATCCTGAATGTTTTCTTTGTGTTCTATCTCAGGCAGCCCTAATGATATGTACCGAAGCATATTTATCTTTTTATGAGAAAACAATCAAGTCCATCTTATTACCCGTACTCTTGGTGGCTCAACTGAGTTCTCGGTGACAACTCTGCATCCTCTCTCTATCACTTTCTCAGGTGATATGCTACACACCTCCAGTCTAAATTGTCACTTGTGTGGTATTGCTGAGTTCTCCAAAGTCGTATTTCTGTATCACTCTTCCCTACCCTTACATTTCCTTCTAAGTGTTCGCAACCCTTGAGATCACTTGGTAAATATTTAAGCTTGTCTCTCTTCAACTTTTGACTTTGCTTTACTTCCTATTGCAGCTACCTCTCTCTGAGCAGTTTGGCCCCTCTCAGACTCTTTGCCAACCTACTGGAAATTCCTTTTTTGGACCACAGAAACCACACCAGAGACTTGGAATGGGGGAAGTCCTTGCTTCTACCAGTTAGCAGGCAAAGTGGGAGGGAAATTAATCAGAACAGGAAACTCACAGTTAAAAGGTGTAGGCTGTCTGTCAGTTTTCTCACTAGTCTCTCACTTGCTAGCTTTTATTTCATTCCAACAGCGCTATTTTCTTATTTATAAAATGGAAGAAGTATAATCTGTACAGTCCAAGTTAGGGAATTCTTGGATGATTATATGCAATAATACATGAGAAAGAATTTTATAATCTCTCTTTAGGACAGGTCTTTATTATTTTATTACTTTTGTTGCTTATTTCTTTTCTATCAACTACAGTGCTAAGAGATATGCTCCTGGTATTCTTATTGAAAATTGGAAAGTCATGTGCCATGGAAATATTACTATACTCAGTCATGGTGCTGAGGTGTTTCAGGATGATTGGTGCAGTGATAATCAATCATCCAACAAATACTTATGGAGCCTCTTCTATGCCACACTAATAGTAATATAAAGCTGAGTAGGACAGTTTTTCTTTCAACTTTCAAGAGCTTCCATACCTAGTTACAAGGGTTTTATTTTTTCCCCAAAGTATTGATCATGTGATTCTCTTGCTTCAAAACCTTCCCTTCAAGTGTACCTTTATTTATCCGCTCATCATTTACAAAGAACTTACCATCACTGTCTCACTCATTGTATGCTGGAACACAAAAGCTCATGGACAATATATCCCTGGTTCAAACTTCCGAGGTTTTTCTACAGATGTGACTAATAGGAATAAAAACTTTCCAGTTCAATAAAGCTATGCCATTTTCTTATTTTGGGATTAGAATGGAAGACTCCTCTCTGACAAAAGGAATAACCCCATGATGGTGGATGAGATTTATGACTATCACCAGGGCACGTATGTGTGTGATTACACTCAGTCGGATAATGAAGGCTCATGGATAGTCAGAGCTGTTGTTCAAGTAAGAACCATTGGTAAGCAAGATTTTACCTTAACAATTCATATCTGAATCCCAGCTTCCTATTACTTTGTCTTAGTATTTTTTTCCTTTGCTTGTAGCCATGCAAAACCTTGATTTGGGAAAAGCATCAGTTCTTCCATTAACTCAGATCCCATCCCCTAAGGAAGACTTTCTTTTGGATCAGGATCAAATTGGGTTGTTCCTGCATTGATCCCTGATTTGGTTTTTATAAATAGTTTTAAAACGTATTAAATATTTCATACATAAGCTATTACATGACAACTGTGTACCTTTCACCAACTTTAACACATTAATGTTTTTTCATATGCTTAAAATCTTATTTTCTTTAAACAAATCTTATTTTCTTTAAACAAATAACACATTGTGGATATAGTTGGAGGTCGTCTCAATCCCTCCCACATCCTGCTCCAGTGCAGTCACAATCTTGTGGTTTATATATCCTTTCCTTTCATGGTTTTATGCCTTTTCTACCTCCCTATGTATCCAATAGTGACACAATATTATTTTGTGCTATAAAATGTGTTTTGTGGTCATGTATAAATTCTCACTATTCCCAAGTAATAGGAGAATGTTTTAAAAATTTTGTGGAACATGGAATTGAAAGATGTTTATTTTAGTGTGAAAAAAAATTCAAACTTTTTCAAGGGCATGCATTTCCCATGCACTGTTTGAAGGCTCTTAATGTTTGGTGTTGTCCGACTTTTTGACTGATGTCAAGTGTGTGTGTTGGTTTCTTCCCGATTTACATCTCCCTGACTAATGAGATGGAGCCTCCTGCCATGTTTATCAGTGCACTGAATTTCTTCTTTAGTTTTTTCTATTTTGCCCCACCCTTTCCTTTGGTTCACTTTTACTAGACCTACAAACATAAACATGGAGAAACTATATGATGTAGCTAATTTAGGCATGGCCTGTGGAGTCAGAACATAACTGAGCCAGTAAATGTATGGAAGAGCTGGAAGTGTTGACTTCATTCTTAGTTGAGTTCTCAGTCAACGTTACATCTTCTTCTTTTATTGCAACATTCACATGGTATAGAACAGCTTAGGATCAAGTGAAACATGTCTGTCAACTCCATGGCACTTACTCTTTCTACCACTTCAGATCTCAGTCATTTTCTTTTTTACATCAATAATTTGAAAAGAAGTTAGAGTGTGAATATTCCACTTATACCACACAACTCTCCAAATGATAGTTTCTCTTTTAGTCAGGCGTTACTTGGCTCCTCAAATTCTCACTGGCTTAATCTACTTTCCCCTCCCCCAAGGAACATCTGGCACCAATTTTTGCCTCTAAATCAGTCAAAGCTTCTTTGTTACCACTTCTATCTTCTCTATTCACTCATTTCTCCTTATGGCTATTGATTCCCACACAGATATTTATTGAATATCTGATTTGTAGCAAGTTTGGAGCCCAGGATGTAAGAATGAGGGCACTTTCTCTGACCTCCTGAGAACACAATCATTTTGTGGGACAGATAGGAACCAGGTGAGCACAGTGAGTGAGAGACAGAGGAGCAGTGAGTATATAAGGCACCTTCCAGATGCAACCAGCTCCAAATAACTCAGGAGTGAGGTCAAATAGGCTCAATTACACTGTGCGAGATGCCATTCCAAGCATAGATGATGTCCCTGAAGTGAAAGAGAACATGGCTCAATCCAGAATGAGACGTAAAGTCAATGGAGGGAGAAGGTGTTGAAGCAAAGCCAACCTCACACTGTTCCAATAAGTTGAGAGCTTCATACAAGAAACAAAGGAGGAGATTCCAAGATGGTGGAATAGTGACAGGGTGATCTGAATTAGGCTGAGTAAAATTAACATAAAAAAAGTTGAGGCAGGCACCGCGGCTCACTAGGCTAATCCTCCGCCTAGCGGCGCCAGCACACTGGGTTCTAGTCCCGGTTGGGGCACCAGATTCTGTCCTGGTTGCTCCTCTTCCAGGCCAGCTCTCTGCTGTGGCCAGGGAGTGCAGTGGTGGATGGCCCAAGTGCGTGGGCCCTGCACCCCATGGGAGACCAGGAGAAGCACCTGGCTCCTGCCATCAGATCAGCGCGGTGCGCCGGCTGCAGTGGCCATTGCAGGGTGAACCAATGGCAAAGGAAGACCTTTCTCTCTGTCTCTCTCACTGTCCACTCTGCCTGTCAAAAAATTTTTAAAAAAAGTTGAGAAAGTAAACTCTCAGAGTAAAGCTGCAGGGGAAACATCAGTGGGAGATCCTGCAAAAGCAGTAGAAATAGCCCAGACCTGTATGGAAAATACAGACACGAAGCAAGGTGCAAAAAGACAATGAAAGACCCAGCAGCTTGGCTGGGGGAAGAAAGCGCCCACCTTGGCAAACCAGGTGAAATTGGATTGCACAGGCCCACACCACTGTTGATGTAGCAGGAGAGAGAGCTTAGTGAACTGCACCTTTCTGAGTCTGGCCTGATTCCCTCAGGTCAGTGGGGCGACTGCACATCCAGAGAGGGGGAAAGGTGGTGCAATTCTCTTTCTCCCCATCTCCCTACACAACAGTGGCCTGCAGCCAGTGGAGAGAGGGCTGGCACCATTTTTGGACACAGGAAGGTAGTGACTACTCCAGCTCCTGTGCATGTACCCAGCAGTTATTGGGCTCACCCTCCACCCAGTTGGTGGGGGCAACCATAGCAATTCAAGAGCAACTGACAGGCCGGCGCCACGGCTCATTAGGCTAATCCTCCACCTTGTGGCTCTGGCACACCGGGTTCTAGTCCCGGTTGGGGCGCCGGATTCTGTCCTGGTTGCCCCTCTTCTAGGCCAACTCTCTGCTGTGGCCAGGGAGTGCAATGGAGGATGGCCCAAGTCCATGGGCCCTGTACCCCATGGGAGACCAGGAGAAGCACCTGGCTCCTGGCTTTGGATCAGCATGGCGTGCCAGCCACAGTGCGCTGGCCACAGCGGCCATTGGGGGATGAACCAAAGGAAAAAAGGAAAAAGAAGACCTTTCTCTCTGTCTCTCTCTCTCTCACTGTCCACTCTGTCAAAAAAAAAAAAAAAAAAAAAAGAGCAACTGACAGAGATGGTCTCCACCATGCCAGTTGCACCTGCCCAGCAACAGGAGGGGAGAGAGAGCCATCCATATTGAAGGGAAGTGCTAGCTGAGGCTCTCTCCTACACGCCTGGCACAATTGTGAATGGAGTGGGGCTGTGACTGGCAGATATTTTGAGCAGCTGTGATCGAGAGATCTTACCAGAGAGAAAACCCCGTGTTCCCCACTGACATCGAATCTGGTTGGGAGGACCGGACAGCGGCTCTCGGAACACTTCTACTTCCTTGTGGACAGGAAGGGCTAATCGGGTGCAGCAGCCCCACTGGCACTCCTTGGCCCTAAGAGCCCTGGGAGCTGAGACTGAGAAAACACTGTGACTGTGTGAGAGAGGCAGGGTGCAGCTGGTTCTAGGCCATCACAGAGGGCTGCTGCACATGCTTGGAGTGCCTTGGTTTTCAAGAGCAGCTCACAGTGAAGGGAATGGTGCTCACAGGAAGGACTGCACAGATCATATGTGCAGTTCATACAGCAGTGCTGATGAGTGTTGAGCACACTGGAGGCTAACACCTGGGCATGCCTCAGCTTGGAGAAGGGCTGGTGGCACCAACAGAGATGACAATTCCTCTCCATCCAGTTAAGCAGAGGAGAGCTACCACACTCAGCTTGGGTGTTACCATGGATACTCGCCCCATCCTGGAGCACTGACCAGAGTTCCCTGGCCACACCCACCATACACCTCTTGCTATTCACTGAAAGAGTAGACATCCCACTAAGCCACAGAGGCATAGCTTAAAGATAGAAACCATCAGAGGGGAAAAAGAAAATTCTATAAATGCCTAAAAATAAATGCAGAAATTCAAGAAGCAAGGAAATGATGCTATGATCCAGGATGTAGATCGTGCTACAGATAAGACCTATGTCATTTTACTAAAATTCTTCCCTTTTGTTTTTTTATAAAGCAGGTGTTGTATGGGATTACATTGGCCCCAAAAATCCAGGAGGGGTAGAGGGATGATGATCTGTCTTTTAGAGCTATTTCCTGCTGACATGGGGTGATAAGGTACTCTCCACTGGCATGGTGCAATGTCTCAAGCCTCAATCTCTTGGGTGGGGACCCAAGAGTATATCCCTGTAGCAGCATTTGGTTGACCATCTGGTTGGTGAAGGCTTTGGTTCATTCCATTATCACCTCCTGTAAACATTTAAGCAGACATGGTAGTATAAAAGACAGGGTGAGAATTGCAGCCAATGATACTAACAGTGGCATTAACCAAGTAATGAGAGGATTTCATGGAGAAGAGGAAATGAGTCGGGGGACTCTCGACCCTAGTGAAGGCTCTTTGATGGATGTGGTTTTGCCTGGCCTGATTGCTTAACATAATAATAACACAGTTAAGGCCCATCTGTAAAGCAATCTTAAACAATAAAAAAAAAAAGCATGAGTCATCACAATACTAGACCTCAAGATGTACTACAGGGCAAAAATAATCAAAACAGCCTGGTACTGGCACAAAGTTAGACATATAGACCGATGGAGAAGAATAGAAACTCCAGAAATTAATCCATGCATCTACAACCAACTTATCCTTGACAAAGGAGCAAATATCAGCCCCTGGAGCCAAGACAGTCTCTTCAACAAGCAGTGCTGGGAAAACTGGGTCTCTGCGTGCAGAAGTGTGAAGTAAGACCCTTACCTTATACCTTACACAAAAATCCACTCAAAATAGATCAGAGACCTACATGTGATACCAGAAAATTACTAGAGAACATTGGGGAATCCCTACAAGACATTGGCATATGGACAGACTTCCTAGAAAAGACCCCAGAAGCACAGGCAATCAAAGCAAAAATTAACCTGTGGGTTTACATCAAACTGAGAAGCCTCTGTACTGCGAAAGAAATACTTAGAAAAGTGAAGAGGTAACTGACAGAATGGGAGAAAATATTTACAAACTATGCAACTGACAAAGGATTAGCTTCCAGGATCTGTAAAGAGCTGAAGAAACACAGTAACCACAAAACAAACAACCTAGTCAAAAAATGGGCAAAAGACCTGAACAGACATTTTTCAAGAGAGGAAATTCAAATGGCCAATAGACACATGAAAAAATGCTCAGGATCACTAGCCATCAGGGAAATGCAGATCAAAACCACACTGAGGTTTCATCTCACCCATATTAAAATGGTTCTCATACAGAAATCAATAAACAACAAATACTGGTGCAGATGTGGGGAGAAGGGTACCTTAATCCACTGTTGGTGGGAATGTAAGCTGATACAGCCACTGTGGAAGACAGTTTGGTGATATCTCAGAAATCTGAATATAGACCTACAATATGACTCAGCCATCCACTCCTGGGAATTTATCCAAAGGAAATGAAATCAGCATATTAAAGAGTGATCTGCGGGGGCCGGCGCCATGGCTCACTTGGTTAATCCTCCGCCTACGGTGCCAGCATCCCATATGGTGCCAGGTTCTAGTCCTGGTTGCTCCTCTTCCAGTTTAGCTCTCTGCTGTGGCCCAGGAAGGCAGTGGAGGATGGCCCAAATGCTTGGGCCCCTGCACCCACATGGGAGACCAGGAGAAGCACCTGGCTCCTGGCTTCGGATCAGTGCCGTGTGCTTGGCACAGCATGCCAGCCGCAGCGGCCATTGGGGAGTGAACCAACGGAAAAGGAAGACCTTTCTCTCTGTCTCTCTCTCCCCATCTACTCTGCCTGTGGAAAAAAAATATGCCTCTGACTGATCTGTGAGTAGATTTAAAAAATGGGAGAGGAGGTAAGTATTAGTCTTAAAAGGATATTTAGCCACCTAAGTCATAATGACAAATAGATATTTGAATTAACCAGACTAGATAAAAACTTAGGGGGCTTTCAGCTATATAAATCAAAGAGTAGACATGCATCCAAATCTTTTGCAAACAGGCTTTCAGATTTCCCAATGTACATGACTTTTTCCTCTTTTTTTTCCCCCTCTTTTAGTGAAAAACACTAATCTCAAACCAGATATTCTGGAACCCATCAAGGATACCCTGGAAGTAGAACTTGGTACGTGGTTGCATTGTCACCTTTGAATGACATTGTATTTCTGGGACCAGCTCTTAGAGTCACCCAAGGAAGAGAGCACTGGGGCCTGTAGTCGTCCAGAGTTGGGCATGCAGCTTGGTTCAGCCGCGACTACTTCTGTGGACATGCACTGTGACTTAATCCTTTTAAACCTTTAATTTGCAAAACAAGCACCATAAAAATGACCTTATAAGGTTACAGTGAAACATATTGGGAAAATGTCTGGTAAATAGCCAGTGCCTTGGATATGATCAATATATTTTACATATTTCCTTACTCCTCCCAGGAATAAGTGGTTATGTAAATTGGTGAGGTTTATTGATTATTCCTATAAGATTACCAACTTGAGTAGTGTTAACCCTTATGAATGTGATACTTGGTCTTGCCTTTAAGAGAATATGGTGGAATTATATAAACCTTGTTCAAAAATTTAGTATTGTCCAGAGTTTCTTTTGTAGAGAGGGGAAATTGACTCCCCTGCAGTTTCATTTCATTTTGTCAACATCAATAATATTCATCTCTTTCCATACAGCCAAATAAATTTTTGTATTTATTTTTGTTACATAACCATTATAATTTAGTGAATATGACATGTATAATTTAAATATCTATAAAATAATAAGGTATCCACACACTGTAATACACACACACACACACAAACACTTGAGAGAAAAACATGTGGTATTTATCTTCTGTGTAGATGTAATGGAATATTACTCAGCCATAGAAAAGAATGTAATCCCAACATCTGCAAAGAAATGGATGGAACTGGTGATCATTATGCTAACTGAAATTAGCCAGACACAGAATGGCTGTATGTAAAACCAAATGCTAGTGTTTTAATAAAATAAGTTATCCTTTAAACACTAATAAAAGATTTATTATTACAGGAAGAAACATAAACATAGATATTACAGCATAAGGATATTGGTTAGCGGTACTATTATATTTTAACTGTAGAAATAGTGATAGCAATATTTGCAACATCACAAGGATCCGTGGAAAAGGAAAGAACAAAGAAAAATTAATGAATCCAAAACGCATAGTCAAGTCACTCATGGCATAAGTGAATTTCAGAATATTACTGAAGTAAAAGCATTAACGTACAAAGGTGCATTTTTGAATACAGTTCCTAGTGATATCATGGTAAAATATTAACTTTCAGGTAGAACATATTTGAATAACATTTATAGAAAAAGTGAGTAGTAAAATAATAATAACAATAATACACATGCCCATCCCTGAACAGCTAAATATCTGAATAATTTCCTCTTTAAATTTATGCTACAGTAACTTCAGGATTTTCATTTCAATATGTAAATATTGGTCAATAAAAATGTTATAAGACTTATTTTTTTTGAAAGGCAGAGTGAGAAAGAGAGAAGGAGGAAGAGAGGGAGAGAGAGAGATCTTCACTCTCCAAATGCCCTCAACAGCCAGGGCTGGGATAGGCTGAATCCAGAAGCCAGTAACTCCATCTGGGTCTCCCACAAGAGTGGCAGGGGCCCAAGCACTTGGGCTGTCATCTGCTGCTTTCCCAGGCCACGAGCAGGGAGCTGGATCAGAAGTAGAGCAGTGGGGACTCAAAACTGCCCTCCTCTATGGCATGCTGGTATCTCATGCTGAGCCTTAACCCACTGTGCCACAACACCAGCCCCAGTAAAAAGTTTTTTATCAGTGCACCTTGAACTTGAACACCTGGAGCTCTGCATTTCTGAAAGAGGAGTGGCAGTATCTAGTTATTCCTGGCACCTTTGCTTCATCTGCACACCTGACTAAGCCAGGAAACAACGTCTGGTCACATCTTCCTCCCCAAGATGACACAAAGCCTTCTCACACCCTCCCTTCCTATTTTCTCCCTTGTCTGCATTTTCAGGAAAACCTTTAAGTCTTCACTGCAAAGCACGATTTGGCTTTGAAAGGGACTTTAACCCTGTGATAAGGTGGTACATCAAAGAGTCCGACAATGTGTGGGAAGTCCCAATACCTCAGGGAAAAAGGTAAGAAGGAAACTAGTGGACTTCAATCTTGGTAACCCTGAGTAGATGCTCACATTTTAAAGAAACAGCTAAAATACTCAGTTCTTGGGTTAGTCTCTAGCGCCAACTAGTGGTCTGGTTAAAGTTAAACATGGGGGCCTCACAGTTTGTGACAGGACTGTAAAATAAAATCTTTAAGCTGATTTTTTTTAAACAACTTCTATTGTTGCTTCATTTGTAGCCACAGTTTGATGTGACTTTAAAAAAAATGAGCCATGGGGGCCAGCGTTGTTGTGCAGTGTGTTAAGCCATTGATGGTGGCACAGGCATCCCGTATCACAGGACTGGTTCGAGTCCCAGCTGCTTTGCTTTCTGATCTGGCTCCCTGCTTATGTGTCTGGAAGGGCAATGGAGATGGCACAAGGGTTTGGGGTCTGTGCTACCCCTGTTGGAGACTGGGCTGGAGTTTCTGGTTCTTGAATCTGGACTAGCTCTGGCTGTTGGAGCCATTTGAGGAGCGAACCAGCAGGTGGAAGACCTCTCTCTCTCTTTGTAACCACCCCCTCTCTGTTGTTATGCCTTTCAAATAAGTAAACAAATAAATCTTTAAACAATGGAGCTATGCACACAGCTATGTAGACATGGGCTGCCTGAATACAGAGTGGCCTTATCCAACAAATGGGAAAGGGTGCTGCCCACCCTACACCCTGTTTTCACCAATGCCATATGTGGCAATGTCAAGGATCCAAATCTGGAGAGTCATTAAGGGCCTGGAAAGAATAAAAAAAATGGTACCATCATAAGGAATCTGACAAAAATAGGAGCAGCGAGGAGCAGTTGAAGCAACTTAATCAGGAAAAGGAATCTCAGAGGTGGCTTATCTGTCTGGAAGTACCTAGGAGCTAGCATGGTTAAATGAGAAATTCATTTCAGTTCACTGGCCTCTGGAGCATAGAATCCAGGTCAATGGACAAAATTTGCTGGTGAGAGATGAGTGCCTATGGAAAGAAAGACTATAAATATTTGGAGCTACTATGAGCCTTGGAAAGCTGGTCTCTAGCCCCTGGAAAGTCAAAGGGCTTGCATTCAATCATGTCCAAACCAATGTGTCACTGAAGGATGTATTCTATCAGTTTCTCAAAGTCTGACCCATTACAACAGTCTGCATAGTAAATATTATCTTCTGAATTTTGAAGCATTTTAATGAACAAATGTTAACATCACTTCAAAAAGTGCATATTGTTAGAAAAACAAAGGAATATATCTTGGTAGCACAATAAGATTTCGGGGGAATTTCTAAGATCAGAGAAGTCATTGGGCCCCATCTTAAGCTGGCATTGCAACAACAATACGAAATGCAACAACAAAGAATATGTTGTCACCCATCCTTGGGTGTGAATCTTTGTTTTCCATCTAATGGCAACATGGCCCCTAACCCTTGTGAGTGTCTGTCATCCCATCTATAATCCATGAGTATTAGCTCCTACTTTGCAAGCTCATGGTAACGGTGGGTACAGTAGAGTGTACTTATCACAGCTTATCATAGCTTGTCGCAACTGTGGCAGGGAGGAAGCAACTGGTGGATAAGAGCTGGTCTTGCGGGCTCAGAGCCACACAGCCTAAAACATCATCCATGTAAACAAGACTCCCTTTTTAAAAGTTTTTGTTGTTTATACTATTAATTTCAGAGGAAGAGAGAGAGAAAGGCTTATGCATGCGTGTGTATGCATACACACACACACACACAGAGAGAGAGAGAGAGAGAGAGAGAGAGAAAGCCCCAATCTCCTGGTTCACTCCATATGCCTGTAATGGCCAGAGCTAGGCCAGGCCAAACCTAGGAACTCAATCCAGATCTCCCTCATGAGTGGAAGATTATCCACTTCTACACTTGTGTCTCACCCATGGTCAAGTTAGGAGGCTGTTATTATTATTTTGTAAGGTTCCTGTGAAGTGAGAAATAGAGGAAATTAGTCCATGTTCAGTGCACAGAACAAAACACCTGATACATAGTAAATACTCAGTAAGATTTAGTCATTCCTAATATTATTCTTAAATTATTGTTATTGTCTGCTCTTCTTAGAATAAGAAGGTCAAGAGATCCAAATGTAACAATGTAAAATAAATGCCCAGCAGAATCAATAAGTTAATCATGGATGCATTTCTCTGATCATTGTATCTTCCTCTATTGTTGATTCCATAGCTTTTCTGAAAGCCAAACCAGCTGCTTGTGTGCTGATACTTCAAAAGCCATGGAAACTGGAATGACGAATATGTTGTTTTAGGTGCAAACATTTTTGAAATCCTTGCATACAAGAGATCTTCAAAAAGTTCATAGAATATACCATATATGTTATGAAAAAATTATGCATAGATGTCAAGAAGTGTTTGCACCAAAATGACCTAATCTTTTTAAAAAAATCTATTTATTTGATTGAAAATCAGAGCTACAGAAAGATGCAGGAAAAAGAGAGAGAACTTCTATCTGCTGCCTCACTCCCCAGATAGCCACAACAGCCAGGGCTGGGCCAGACCCAAGCCAGGAAACCTGAGCTTCTTCCAGGTCTCCCAAGTGGGTGGCAGGGGCCCAAACACTTGGGCCATCTTCCGCTGCTTTTCTCAGACCACTAGCAGGGAGCTGAATTTAAAGTGGAGCAGCTGAGACATGATCCAGTGCCCATATAGGATGTCAGTGTCACAGGTGGTGGCTTAACCTGCTATGCCACAATGGTGGTCCCCAAAATGAGCTTATCTTTTAATTCTGTTTTACATAATCTTTTTAAAAAAGATTTATTTATTTACTTATTTATTTGGAATACGAGTTACAGAGAGAGAGAAAAAAAGAGAGACAAAGGCAGAGACAGAAAGACAGAGATATTCCATTCACTAGTTCACTCCCCAAATGGCCACAATGGCCAGAGCTGGGCCTGGCTAAAGACAGGAGTTAGGAGCTAGGAGCTTCACCCAGGTCTCCCAGGTGGGTGCAGGGACCCAAGCACTTGGGACATCTCCAGCTGCTTTTCCAGGTGCCTTGGCAGGGGGCTGGATCAGAAATGGAGCAACCAGAACTTTAATTGGTGCCTATGTGGGATGCTAGCATCAGAGGTGGCGGCTTAATCTTCTGAGCACAATACCAGCCCCATGTTTTCCATAATTTTTTGGAAATACTTTTGGGCAACCTCCAAATACTGCCACTGAATGTCAAGTTGTGTTATGGGTACAGCATTTTTCTTCCTTTCCTAGTGTTAAATCCACATTTGAGGATGAAATCATTGAGCGTATTTTCTTCTTGAAAGAAGTGACTCAGCGCGATCTTCGCAAGAGATTCCTTTGCTTTGCTCAGAACTCCATCGGGAACGCAACCCAGTCCATTCAGCTGAAGGAAAAGAAAGGAGGTGAGCTGGAAGTTTGCCCTGGAGAAATGGGTGCCCCAGCTTTCGCCTCTGAGAGGAGGAATTTTCCTAAAGAATGGTTATGATGAAGATAACAGTGAATATTTTCTAGGTGCCAGACCCTGCATTAGCCTACTTACTGCCCTGATGAAACACACAATCTGGTAATTCCTTGTCAGTGACTCAGAGCTGATCCTGTTAGCTAGCATCCTGTGTTGGAAAAGCCTGTCATTCGTTAAATCATTCATTCATTCCATCTACAAATACCTACAGGGCATGCCCTACATGGCAGGGACCATGTTAAGATGAAGCTCCCTTTCCTCTTAACCTTTGCTGGCTTCCAAATCCAGAAAGCACAATGGATTCCTGTTTTGGTGGATGGAGAATGGAGGAGAGAAGTAATCTTTCTCAATGTGTAGAATATTTTTAAAATCACATATCATAGCCTGTTTAATTTTTTTTGATATTTATTTTTTATTTTATTTGAAAAACAAGGTTACAAAGAGAGGTAGAGCCAGAGAGAGAGAGGTCTTTCATCCGCTGGTTCATTCCCCAAATGACTGCAACAGCCAGAGCTGAGCTGATCCAAAGCCAGGAGCCAGGAGCTTCTTCTGGGTACAGGGCCCAAGCACTTAGGCCATCTTCTGCTGCTTTCCCAGGCCGTAGCAGAGAGCTGGATCAGAAGTAGAGCAGCTGGGACTCGAACCAGCGCCCAAATGGGATGCTGGCATTGCAGGCCAGGGCTTTAACCTGATATGCCACAGCACCAGCCCCATATCAAAGCCTTTTAAACCAATACAGTAGGCCAGTGCTGTGACTCACTTGGCTAATCCTCCACCTGTGGCGCTGACACCCCAGGTTCTAGTCCCAATTGGGGTGCCGGATTCTGTCCCAGTTGCTCCTCTTCCAGTCCAGCTCTCTGCTGTGGCCCCGGAGGGCAGTGGAGGATGGCCCAAATGCTTGGGTCCCTGCACCCACATGGGAGACTAGGAGGAAGCACCCAGCTCCTGGCTTCGGATCAGCGCAGTGCTGGCCGTGGCAGCCATTAGGGTAGTGAACCAACGGAAGGAAGACCTTTCTCTCTGTCTCTCTCTCTCTCACTGTCTGACTCTGCCTGTCAAACGAAAAACAAACAAACAAACAAACAAACAAACAAAAAAACTAGAAATTCTAGGTAAGGAACTCAGTAGAGTCCTCCCCATCCCACCCCATCTGCCATTATACTTCCTAAGATTTTAAGAACCTGTGATCAACCGAAATCTGAAAGCATTAAATGGAAAATTCCAGAAATAAACAGTTGTAAGTTTTATATTACACATCTTTTCATAATATGATGAAATCACAAGCTAGTCCCCACCATCCTGTCTCATGTAGCTCATGACTTTCTTTGCCCAATGTATCCATGCTGTATGTGCTACTCTACTTTTACTATCTTGATTATCGGATCAGCTGTCATAACATCATGGTGCTTACATTCAAGTTACTCTCCTGTTCTTAAAAATGACCCCAAAATGTAAGAATAGTGATACTAGAAGCTTGTATGTACCAAAGAGAAGTCAAAAATACCTCTCACATCATCACAAGAAGAAAGATGAGTACAATTCAGGAAGACTTTCTAAGAGTGAGATCCAATTCACAACTTTCATGTCAGTACCTTGTTATAATGGATCCTGCCTAATTTATAAATTAAACTTTATTATAGGTATGCATAGGAAAAAACAATATATCTAGAATTCAGTGTTATTTCTAATTTCAGACATCCACAGGGCCTTTTATAAAAAGATTTATCTATTTATTCGAAAGGCAGAATTACAGAGAGCGAGAGCGAGAGCATGAAAGAGAGAGAGGTCTTCCATTCGCTGGCCCAGTCCCCAAATGGCTGCAATGGTTACAGCTGGGCCAGTCTGAAGCCAGGAGTCAGGAGCTTCCTCCTGGTCTCCTACGTGGGTGCAGAAGCCCAAGTACCCGCGTTCCCGGGTGCATTAGCAGGCAGCTGGAAGGGAAATGGAGCCGCCAGGATCCAAACCAGTGCCCACATGCAATGCCAGTGCTGCAGGCAGTGGCTTTATTTACTATGCCCCAGTGCCAGCCCCAGTCCACAGGGTTCTGAAACATGTCACCCCGAGCTGAAGAGGAATCTTCTCTGGCTTTTACTATTCTTAGGATGCCCCGAGATGAAATGGGTGTCACTCATTCATTCAATCTACAGAGAGGGTTTGAATATTTGTGAGGCTTACAGGAGACAGAGTTTTGCCTGCCCTGGGCTTCCTTCAGCTGAGGTGTGTAAAACACCCCTTGCCTCAGGTCCCACGGAGGCTCCAAAGGTAACTCCTGGTCTCAGGAAGTTTAAACGTTCGTATGGATGTCAGCACGTGCGAGTAGGTTACACGGATGCGAACGGCGTGTGTGGCTGTTTATGTGAGGGAAAACCCGTCACGTGGCTACGGTAAATCAGGTCACCCTGAGTAGGAACTTCTCCTGGGATCTCTCGAGTTTCCTGTAAGGTGCTTCCCTCAACCATACTTTGAGATGTCCTCGGGTTCCAGAGAGAGACTGCCATAGCAGGTGATCTGGGTAAGGTAACAGCGCGAGGGAACGCCGCCTCGGCTTCAGCTCACGGCCGCCACTTTTCCCCAGTGGTGTTCGTGTACATCCTGCTCGGCACCGTGTTGACCCTGCTGGCCGTGCTCACGGCGAGTGCTGTCCTCTACACGTACTGGATTGAAATAGCGCTGCTGTGGCAGAGCTGCCAGAACAAGGATGAGACGCTCGGAGGTAAGGCCACCCAGCACGCCACCCAGCATGCACCCTTCCAAGCTGGTGTTGGTGCTACGTTGTCCAGGATGGTAGGGCATACCACCGCTACCCGTCAGCTTCCCTCCCTGAGGGAACTTAGGAAAGACTCTCAGGTGCTCCCTGCCCTAGGGGGCAGAATAGGAGGGAGGAGCTCAAGAAATGACTGCTTCCTGATGGACAGAGTCATGTCCCACAGCTTTGGAGACCTTCTTCCAGGTCTGGGGGCTTCACACTGGGCAAGGGAAGGGAAACATTCGTTTTTTACTCCAGTTAACAAGGCTCTTGGATAATGATGCTATTGGGGGAGTATATGGGGGTATGAAAATGATATCTCTCTCTGCTGACCAACCTAAAGAGCAACTCAGCATCCTTGGGCTTTGGTTTTCTTCTCTATAAAATAAGATGACAATAGCTTCAGCCCCAAAGATGCTGAGGCCTCCTTGAGTTGAGACGTAGCAAGCATTTAGAATGGCACCGAGCAGGTGCATCCCAGCATGCGGCAGCCACGTGTATTAATTACATTAATTGTCACAGCAATCTCGCAAGCTAGACAAGGAGAGATGAAGTCATTTGCCCCAAATTGAACCACTGGAAGCTATGGGAGCCAGGTCATATGACTTAAGAAACCCCATTAGCTATTAGTTAGCCTCGTCTTCAAAATGAGGAGCACGGTGCAATGACACCAAAGTAGTAGGTGTCATTTTATAGAAGTTCTATAAAATGCAAGTGCAACTACTATTAATGGAGTATTTCTCATTTTTCCTATGAGACAGCATGAGGATCATCATTCATGTTTGCTTCTTTAAGATAGAGGAGCTGCTTCTGTTCTCCAAGGTTAGAATGTTTGTGGTTTTAGTGAATGATTCTGCTGTTTGGAATGAGCTTTCTGCTGCATTTCAGGGATAATTATTATCTCATGGGGAAGCTCCTCCAAACTCAAGTACTTTTCTCTCATAAAGAATCCAGGAAAAGCTCTCAGATCACTGGGGAGAAGACTAATTTTAAGAGAAATAATCAAGAGGTTGGTGTTTGCCGCAGTGGTTGGCACACTGGTTGGACATTGCTTCCCATGTTGCAGGGCCTTGGTTCAAGCCCATCCTCCACTTCTGACTCCACCTCCTTGCTAATGTGAGCCTTGGGAGGATGACTCAGCTCCCACTCACATGGAAGACCCAGGTGGAGTTCCTGGTCCCTGTTGAGGGTATTTGGGAAATGAATCAGTGAATTGGAAATCTCTCTCTCCCTCTCTCTCTTTTTCATGTTCCTCCTTATCAAACAGTTAAAAAAAGGCATCAGTCACATCTGTGTTTAGGCTAATTTTTTTCAGAATACATTCTAGAAATCCTTAAGCCTAAATTGTTTTGACATCTATTTTTTAAAAATACTAATTTTTCCAAGTTGAGCTGATTAACCAATGGCTTAATGTTTTCCCTAGGCGACTTCAGACTTCTTTTACTGAAATGCCATTCACCTACGATGCCAGAGCTTCTGTAGAAGAATAAACCCACAGTGAAACATTGTGTACTTTTACTTTGCAAAGGCTCCTTAATCAAACGTGAAGCAGTCAAGTTTGTAAGCACAGTGATGCAGCGCCATCTGCTGGCCAAACCGATATTGTTTAGCTTCATGCTGAATGTTCAACATTTTTTCTTTTTTAAAATATTTATTTACTTACTTGAAAGGCAGAGTGATGTGTGTGTGTGTGTGAAAGAGAGAGATTGAGAGAGAGAGAGAGAGAGAGAGAGATCAATCTTCCATTCACTGGTTCACTTCCTGAACCAGTAGCTGCAAACTGGCGCTGGTCCAGGCCTAAGCCAGGAACCTGGAGCTCCATCTGAATCTCCCACATGGGCGGCAGGAGCCCAAGCACTCAGGCCATCTTCTGCGGCTTTCACCGGCAGGGAGCTAGGGTGTAGGGAGAACAGCGATTATTTGAACCTGTGCTCTGATAAGGGATTCTGGCATCCCAAGCAGTGTCTTAACCAGCTGTTCCAGAATGCTGGCCCTTCCTCAAAACTTTAGAGATGCAGAATGTTAGAATTGTGGTGGCCCTACTCTACACTCTCTAATTTTATCACTGAAGAAATTGAGTTACCTGATTATGGAGAAATCCTGGTTTTCTGGGGTTCCACATGGATACGGAAGGAACAGTAGCAACTTGGGATGTTTCCCTGCGCAGCATGTACCTGCCCGCCACAAGCGAGTCTCTTTCTTCCCGACCTGGGCTCCTGGTCTCTGGGCCCTGCCTTCTCTGTTGCTGGTTTTCTCTCCACTGACACCTCTGAGAGCCCTGTGGAACAGGCATGCCGCCAGGTGGCATCAGCCCCGGCGCTGCCGTTTGCTGTGTGGCAGCAACATGAGGCTGGGAGAGGTCTTCCAATAGTCAGTGGAAAAGATGGAATTAAAACATAAGTTGATTTTGGTGCAAAAAGTAATAAAATCCAAGCATCGTTTTTTCATAATACACTTTGTCCAGAAATTATTTTGAAGACTTCTCATATGCATGGGATTCAAAAGTCATTTGCATCAAAATAAACTTACCTTTTATTATTATTATTTCTGAATTAGCCTTGTACCATTTCTTAGGGGGTGTGGGAAGTGTTGAAATGTGAACTGGCCATGACCCCTTCTCAAGTTTATGATTTTCTCTTGTATTTTCTATCTTTCTTTTCTTTTTTAAAAGATTTGTTTATTTATTTTAAAGTCAGAGTTATACAGAGAGAGAAGGAGACACAGAGAGAGAAGTCCCCCACCTGTTGGTTCACTCCCTTGATAGCCACAATAGCTGGAGCTGAGCTAATCCAAAGCCAGGAGCCAGGAGCTTCCTCCAAATCTCCCATGTGGGTGCAGGGGCCCAAGAAATTGGGCCATCTCCCACTGCTTTCCCAGGCCATAGCAGAGAGCTGGATCAGAAGTGGAGCAGCCAGGACTTGAACCAGCGCCCATATGGGATGCTGGCACTGCAGGCGGTGGCTTTACTCGCTACTCTACAGCGCTGACCTCCGATTTTCTATCTTTCTTCCAGTTACTTCTTTAGCATTTCCCAATCACCAGTGAGCGTTTATGATCATATAATCAAAAGAAGGATATCGGCTTTAAAATATCCTAAAACTGGTTGCATTCATATGGCTTCCGGTCTAGAAGGAAAGGGAGGGGGATATTTATCTCCTATCTGCTCTATGAGCCAGACACAGAGCACTTGCATCACGCAACCTTGGAGACAGCTGGCTTGCGAGCTAGTGTCCTTTTTTAGCTGTGGGCATTCAGATGTTGGTAAGGTGCTGTCAGCTCTCTTGGGGGGAGTTTGTTGTGCGGTGGAGGCCATGTGTTGAGTCTCAGCTGTGCCTGGCTCACTGGATCCTGTCACCTTTGATGGAGCCAACCCCTCTTTGATCTGTAGCTAATGAGACAGAAACACTGCAGAGGCACAGAGAACTCCCAGGAACTCCGGAGCAAGTGTGATTTTATCACAAAGGGTCCCTGCTGTGTGATCCAAACCCAGAGGGCTTCCTGAAGGAAAGTTTGGTTTTGGATGGTCAGTCGTACCAGTCAGCAGTAGGATTTCTGGAGATTTTTAGTTTTTAAATCCATTCTATGAGGATTCTCAGTTTCTTTCTTCCCCATTTACCAAGTGCTTCAAGCATGTGCATATGGACTATGATATTAGAAAGAGTGGCTTATGTTGCTTATGGTGCCTCTTTCTCAGATGAAAAGGAATTTGATGCCTTCGTATCCTATGCGAAATGGAGCTCTTTGGAGGGTGTGGCCTCGCCATCGCTGAGTGAGGAACTCCTGGCTTTGAATCTGTTCCCTGAGGTTTTGGAGAACAAGTATGGATACACCTTGTGTTTGCTGGACAGAGATGTGGCTCCGGGAGGAGGTAGGTCCCTTGTGCTAAGACAAAACAAAGAATGCAAAGGGCACCTGGAGGCTTGCCAGCTCTCAGTTGGTTCTTCCTTTCTGTTGGAATGTACAACTTCTAGGCGTTGTCATGAATTCGTCTATCTTGAGTGGCTCCCCAGATCAGCATGTTCCAGAGACATATGTCATCATTCAGAGAAAAAAATAATAATGTGGGGGCCCTTTGGGGACTTTCCAGAACCAAGATGCCCTTCCTGCCCCTTGCACAGGAAGGTGTCTCTCTCATTCCAAAAAGCAGGCCTGTTGCTTTCTGGGGCTCTGCTCTAAACCTCAGCACTGGGTCAGGCATGGGTAAGCTCGGATCTCCCATGAAAGGGCTAGACTTCAGCCTGTCTCTCTCCCGGGCCATTCTACAATCACCATTGTCCTTGCCAGCCCTGGGGTTCCCATGAGTTCTGTTCCTGGTGGAATCAATAATTTGGGGTGGCTGATACAGAGGAGGAATGTAAAATTGGGAGTCACTAGACACTAGAGTGTATCTTTAATTACTGATGGTGCTAGATTAAATCTTGTCTCCTTTGCTCCTTACATAAGAGTATCTATCCCCAGGAAGCCTCTGGTTAGAACTGCCATCCTAGGTTATTGTGACCCAAGGTTTAACTGTATTAATTACAAATGATTAAATTCCTTATTTCCAGTGTATGCAGAAGACATTGTGAACATCATTAAGAAAAGCAGAAGAGGAATCTTTGTCTTGAGCCCCAACTATGTCAATGGACCCAGTGTCTTTGAACTGCAGGCAGCAGTAAATCTTGCCTTGGATGATAAAACTCTGAAACTAATTTTAATTAAGTTCTGTGCATTTGAAGAACCAGAATCTCTACCTCATCTTGTGAAAAAAGCTCTAAGGGTTTTGCCCACTGTCACATGGAGAGGCATAAAATCCGTGCCTCCCAGTTCCTGGTTCTGGACCCAGATACGCTACCACATGCCTGTTAAAAACACAAAAGGATTCACATGCAACAAATTCAAAACTATGTCATGAATTTTTTTTTTCCACTGGAAAGGATTCGGCAAGACAGACACCACTGGGAGGAGCTCCCAGCTTAGAGAATGTGGACTGGGCAAGAACACCCTCCCCTCCAGCCCCTGGGAGGAGAGAGGACACACAGCCTGAATCAGACTCATGGAAAAGCAAATCTTCTTCCTGCCCCAAGCAGGCTGGACAGGCACAGGAAGGAGCCTAAGGCTGTGGTTTAGAGTCTCTGACTCCTGGACAGGACAGGGAAAGTGTGAATTCTTTCGAACTCTGTGTGCGTTCAGCTCACAATGCCCCCAGCACGTCCCCAGTGGTCTGAGTGAAATCTGCAGGTACAGGTGCCCCTGCTTTGTGGCTATGGACTGTCATGGCTGCCATGTATTTTACACTTGACTTCTACACATGCAATCAGATAAACACCATTTCATTAGAACCAAGGGATTTTAACTGTGCCCAAACGTTTTCTATACAGAAGACAATTCATTTAAAACACACATATTTTTATTTTTAATAGACATATAGAGATTAGACAGATTTGTGTGGTACAGTGTAACACTTAAATGCATGCATACAGTATCAGTTCAGGGCATTTGGCAGGCCCATCGCCTTAAACATCCATCATTTCTTTTGTGTTGGGAACATTTACAATCCTCTCTACTGGCTGTTTTGAAATATTCACGCACCTGTTGTCAGCCATAGTTACCTGCTATGACTCTTGCACTATGTTCATTCATCGACTCTGGAGTGTGGGAATGAAGTGTGAAAGAATGAGAGACCAGTGAGACACAAAGTGTTCAGGGCTACAATCAGTGTCTGCTGTGTCCTTGTGGGCAATAACCCCTCTGGGTAAATGGACTACAGACACTCCTCAGCTTACGATGGGGTTGCATCCAGATAAATCCATCGCTAAAATAAAAAAAAAATCACAAGGCCAAAAACGTGCTGAATCTGCCTAACTGACTGAGCATCCTGGCTGAACATCACAGCACACTGTAGAGCGGGAGCATTTCCCTCCTGACCTCAGGGCTGAGGGGAAGCTGCCGCTACTGCTGCTTAGCATCACCCAAGAGGACGCACAGAGCCAGACCAGGAGAAGATCCAGATTCCAAATTCCAAGTGTGATTTCTACTGAGCACATGTTGCTTTTGTACCATTGTAAGTCAAAAAAACTTAAGTCAGACCATTATAAATAAGGGACTGTTTATAGAAAAGGGGCACCTGCCACTGGGCAGATGTGGTCTATCCAGTCTATGGGTATGGGGGACAAGGTAGGGATAATTTCAATTCTTTATTGTTCTGCTGGCCAGAGGCCTTTGGGAAGAGCTTAAAGTACATAGCCTTGCTCTGTGCTGCTGGCGGTTGAGACCAGCTGAGCCCAAATCATCAAGGTCCCTGAAGAGACAAGGCATTGACCATCAACAAACTAGAAAGGTGGTGGCAAGGGTCAGCAGTCATGCAGGTATCTGGGGAATAAGTGTGTATGCAGGTAAAAGGCAGCAAGACTGGAGTTGGAATAGAGCTGTTGTCCGAGCCCTTGGCCTGTTAAGGCTGGCACTCCTGTGTGTTTCTGGACCTTGTAATGGCAACTTCAGTCCACTGAGTGGCAGGCTGGTGTGCTTGAGGGCCAAGTTGTTCCTGGTAGCCAAGGCCAATTTCCTTCCTATCCATTTCTTTATGAGACCTCATTGTGCAGCTGAAACAGGGTTGTATGTAGTTCTGCATGGACCACGTAAAGCCTTCACGCTCTGTCATCCTCAGTGGGGTGGAGTGATTCATCAACTGAACAATAAAGAAAAGCAACGTCTGGTCTCATTCGTGTGCAGTGTGTCATGGCCTCCATTCTGAAGGTGATCCGCATTCAGAGTGGCTCTTAGAAGCCATTGTCATGCGGCCCCTTGGGTCCTGGGTGAAATGCTCTTCTGATCTTTCTCCACAGAGGCACCCACATCATAAAAACCGCGGTGGCTTTGGCACCAAGTGGCATCCTTGTTGGAAATGTCAGTGATAAAGTTAACGAGGAGTTACAGGGTATAGATTACGCCTGGAGGAAGTTTCTTGTGGGGAGGATCATTGCAGGGTCTCAGCAGGGAGGAACCCACATTGTCATTGTGCCCTTATGCTTTGGTGATGGCCAGGAGCCCAGGCCCTCCTGCCAGCCACTCTGTCAGATCCACAGCTCAGAAACCTCCGGGTTCATCAGAGGCCAGTCCATCCAGGTTTGCCTTATTCTAGGATAGATACTGCCACAGCATAGCCATTTACAAGGCTAGAGCTTTGTCCTTAGCTTTGTGAAGAAATCTCAGGTTTGGACCTACACAGAGTGAGACCTATTTAGCACTGACACTAATGGCATGCACTCTTTCTCAGCTAGAGGGTACAGTGAAGATGACAAATTAGCATTCCGGATGAAGGGTTATATATACTTATTACATGTAAATAAACCAAAGTAAAAAGGTCAACCAAAACAAATATTCCATGAGTGGGACACTGTGATTGAACAACTGGACTTAGTGGAATACAATTAGAAATAGAGTATGATTTTATCACAGTACCTGCTAAATCTGGCTCCTGGCTTACACCTGTTGGTTGTGTATAATTTTTCAACAGTCTTTTTCACTCTGAAAAAATATCCTACTTTGTGTGATGGCCACCCTGCCTCTCACACACACTGTAGAATACTCGCTACTGACTCTGCATCATATCTCAGTTCTCTCAGCTTGCCAGTCTCTGGAATTTTTAAAAGACTAATTTATTCAAAAGGCAGGCTGACAGAGAAGGGGAGACAGAGAAGATGTTCCATCTGCTAGCTCCCCCAAAGGTTATAACAACCTCATCTGGGCCAGGCCAAAGCCAGGAGCCAGTAACTCCAATCTGGTCTTCTACATGGGTGGAAAAGACCCAAGGACTTGGGCCATCTTCTGCAGCCTTCCCGGGCATGTTAGCAGGGAAGCAGGATTGGAAAGAGAATAGCTAATACACAAACCTGTGCTGCAATACAGGATGCTATCATGGCAAGTGGTGGCTTAACGTGCTGTGTCATCATACTGGCCCCCTTTGGGGATTTTAATATCTAGCTTTGTCATCTAGATTATTTCCAGGTTGTAATTCCAGGTAAGAAGAAATAAACATACATTGCCCTGTTTCTCCCTCTCGTTTCAGTCTTAAAACCTGGATAAGATGTGTAGATGATCAGTCTGATCTGAAAAGTAAACAGAAGTAGGCTTGCTAGAAGAGCCAAGAGTTCAACTCCACAAGTCTACATCAGTGATAACAAAACAGGTCCAGAGGAGACACTAGTTCTGGTCTGAAGACCAGGAAACGGGTTTCCTCCCACTTCGGCATTGTTTTCCTTCTCTATCTCCCAGTGCCCAGCCCATAAGCTGTCCTGTGCTGGAAGCAGTAGTACCATCCACAGCGGCGGCATTAAGAACCTTCAAGAAGAGGCTGATGGTGTGGCGTAGCATGTAAAGCCACTGTCTGCAATGCCAGTATTCCATATGGGTGCCAGTTTGAGACCTGGCTGCTCCGCTTCCGATGCAGCTCTCTGCTACGGCCTGGGAAAGCAGTGGAAGATGGCCCAAGTCCTTGGGCCCCTGCACCCATATGGGAGACCCAGAAGAAACTCCTGGCTCCTGGCTTCGGATTGGCTCAGCTCTGGACATTGCAGCCATATGGGGAGTGAACTAGTGGATGGAATCTCTCTCTCTCTCACCCTCTCCCCCCACCCCTTCTGCCTCTCTAACTTTTCCTTTCAAATAAATAAATCTTTTCTTAAAAAAAAAAAAAAAGAACCTTCAAGAGCCCATATTTCCTAAAAGGGGAAGAGTCCAGCACTTGGATATAAGAAGCTGGGGTCACAAGAGGGTGTGGCAAATCTCCCCCAGTATTTTCTCTCTGCCCTCTTATCATTTGGCTGCATGGGTGGAAGAAGAGTGGGGCCCCAAGCCCCAGTGCCATTTCCAAATGGCAAAGAGGAGGTGAGGAGACTCAGGGAAGCAGAAAGCAGTGTGGGAATTGAAGGCAGAGAGGAGCTCAGGAAAACAAATCTGTCAAGCTGTTGATGGGGCTCTGCCCCAGACTGCCCATGTCTGCTTTGACCCTGAATGGGATATCATGAACTTTGAGAATTGCATTATGGGATGTACCACTTCCTGTGAGGCTTAGACAGGCCACTGGAAGGTGAATACCTGAGCTGGCCCCAAATAGAGCCAAAAGGTTGTGAAACATCATGAAGACTGAAACCACAATGCTGATTGATGTTTGCGAACTTCATCCCACTGGGTCCATTGCCTGCCACAGCAAAAACTAACACACCCTACCTGGGATTTCAGTAAGACCTGAGTTGTATAACAATAATACTGAAAACATCCAAGAGTAATCTGTTGAATGAAAAACAAAACAAAATCAATCAAACAAAAAGAAGTTATTTTCTGGTAGGATTTTCACTGTAGGTACATGTAACACATAAAAGTAATATCAACACGAATGAAGGAGAGTAGGAAGAATTGTATGGTGTAAGATTTGTACAGAAAACTCCAGTGTTTTGATTCTATGTAGGATATGAAAAAATAGTATATTTTAATACATTGGACAACTACTAAGAAAACAAATATTGAGCTTTGCATGATGAAAAAGGAATAGATTTGCCAAAAGGACATTCGGTGCGTGCACCGAATAACAATGCTTCAAAATGTTTGAAGGAAAAACTAACAGATGAAAAGGAGAAATAGTCAAATCTACAATTACAGTTGGATTTTTTCTCTCAGAATTACATTGGAAAAGAGAAATGCAAGCAAGATATGGAAGAATTGAGCAGCACCACTTGGTTGGTGGATCTGAGGATCTGCCTGGCAATTATACCACACTCCATCTAGCAACAGCAGAACACAAGTTCTTTGGATATGCTCATAGAACTTTTGCCAAGGTATACCATATCCTAGATCATAAAAACATTAGCAAGAATTTAAAAGCTGGAATAAGGGTCTGTGTTGTGGCGCAATAGGTTAAATTTCTGCCTGGGATGCCAGCATCCCATATGAGCCCCAGTTTGAGTCCTGACTACTCTACTTCTGATCCAGTTCCTTGCTAATGAGCCTGAGAAATCAGGGGATGATGGCCTAAGTACTTGGGCCCCTGCTCCCACGTAGGAGACCCAGATGGAGTTCCAGGCTCTGGCTTTCAGCCTGTCCTTGTTCTGGCTGTTGGCAGCCATTTGGGGGAGTGATTCAGCAAATCTCTCTTTAACTCTGCCTTTCAAATAAATAAATAAATGAATATTTAAAAAACTGAAATAATGAGAAGTAGTTTCTGTGTTTATAGTGGGTTTAGACTAATAATTATTAGCAGAAAGATGCCAGGAAAAATCTCAGAACACTTGGAAATTAAACAACACATGGATAAATCCATAGGTAAAAGAGGGAGTCTTGAGGGAAATTGATAATGTTTTCAAGTGAGTGCAAATGAAAATAGTGCTAAAATCTATAAGGTGAAACAAAAGCTGTGTTTAGGGGGAAGCCTATGTTGTTAAGTGTTTATGTTGGAAAAGAAAAATATCTCAAGATAATAATCTAAGTTTTCACTTTAGGAAGAAAGAAGAAAATAATACATAAATAAATAAATAAAAACAGAGACTGATGCCATTGAATATCAGAAAACAATAAGGAAAATCAATATATCGAAAGCTTATTTTTTTGAAAAGATCAATAAAACTGAAAGAAACTTAGCAAGATGAAACAAGAATAAAGGAGAGAAGACACAATTACTAGTATCAGAAGTGAACGGATCTCACTATAGATGCTGCAGGTCTTCAGAGGATAATAGAGGGATATGTAATATGTTGTATGGTTACATATTTGACAACCTAAACAAAATAGATTCTTAAAAACCACAAACTTGGGCCCAGTGTTGTGGCTCATCAGGTTAAGCTGCCACTTGCGATGCCAGCATCCCACATGTACATTTGTTCGAGTCCCAGCTGCTCTGCTTTCAATCCAACTCTCTGCTCATGAGCCTGGGAAAGCAGTAGATTGTGGCCAAAATTCTCAGGTTGCTACCCGCCATCCGGGAAACTCAGAATTCTGGACCTCTGGCTTTAGCCTGGACCACACCTGGCTGATGTAGCCATTTAGGGAGTGGGCCAGCAGATAGAAAACCTCTGTCTCTGTCTCTCTCTCTCTGTGTCTCCTTTCTCTGTATGTAACTCTACCTTTCAAATAAATAAATAAATAAATATAAAAAAAAAGTTGAAAAGCTCACCCAAGATTAAATATATAGCCTGAATTTAGCTTGAATTGGTCATACTTATAAAATAAATATATATTAACAATTCCAAAAAAATTACAGACCCAGATATTTTCACTAATTCTATCAAACAGTAAAACAAAAACAAAATACCAATTTCATAGTTTCTTCCAGTAAAAAGAAGAGGGAAGAACATTTACCAAATTGTATTTTGAGGTCATTATTTTCCTAATATCAAATCATAACAAAAAAAAAGTATAAGAAAAAAACTCATAGACCAACATTCTTCATGAATATTAACACAAAATATCAAGAAAATATTATCAAATTAAATTCAACAATATATTGATAAAATAATATACAATAACCAAATGGAGTATATCCTGGGTAAAGCTTGGCTTAAGAATCTTTGAAGGGGCCGGCACTGTGGCACAGCAGGTTAAAGCCCCAGCCTGCAACTCCAGCATCCATTATGGGCTCCAGTTTCAGTCCTGGCTGCTCCACTTCCAATCCAGCCCCCTGCCAATGCACCTGGGAAAGCAGCAGAAGATGG